AACTGCCACCACAACTGAGTTAAACAGCATTTCTACCATCCCAAAGTTCCCAGTGCTCCCGTGGCCACCCACCCTCCCTGATCTGCTTCCCATCCCATGGCCTCGCCTTTTCCAGAATGTCACCAAACGGGAATCACCCAGTAGCCTCTGAGTCCGGCTTCCTCCACGCAGCAAGAAGTGCTCCTTGGTGAGGCTTGCAGCTCAAATAAGACCGAAAAAAGGCTTGAGACTCTGTGCACGTGAGTCATCACATTCGCCAGAGGGGAGAGAAAGTAGAGCTGGGGCCACCCGGGGCCTGGGGAGGTGGGAACAGGGTTGGTGCTTGTGGGGACAGAGTTTCAGTGTGGGAAGATGAAGCTCTGGAGACGGGTGGCTGCACACAAGGGGTGCACTTAATGCCCCTGGACTGTGCACTAATATGGTTAAAATGGTGAATGCTATATTATGCACAGTCTACAATTCAAAAAATAAAGCTGAGAGTCTTTCTTCTCTTGAACACGGACTACCAGATAACCACGTGGGACTTCGCTTCTGTGGTTGGCTTTGCTTTCTACGATTGAGAAAAGTGAAGGCAGGCACTGCCTCCCGACATCCACACGTAGGACCGCCGCCTGCCCCGGGCCCTCCCCGTCCCAGCTGGCCCAGGACCTCCCACTCCTGCTCATGCCTGCAGGAGCCTCCTGTCCCCTGCCATCAAATCTTACCAGCTGGGAGTCTCAGTGCCTCTCAGGGTGACTCAGAGAAAATAACGGGAGGCTCTAAGCTCAGACGATGACAACAACTCCTGGCTGCTGTCCCCGCTTATGAGGGGGGTGATCCACTCATGGGGTGCTAGATGAACACAGGGTGGCTGAACCCCCCCACTGCCCTCAGCACCCCACAGAACCACAGCCAGAGCCTCAGGACACTCTTTGTCCTTGCAGATACAACATCCTCAGTCTTAGCACAGGACAAGCCCAGGAGAGCCCTAACATTAGGGTCCTGGCACAGCTGCGACCACATGAGTCTGAACTGCCCTGGATGAGTCACTCCCGAGAACTCCACACCTGGTGGGAGCCAGCCCTGGGCCCTGCATGCTCCGTCCTTTGTCACCCATCACACATGCAAGCCTGACCCCCAGGGGACACACTGGAGGGTCAGACTGGACACCCCTGGTCGAGAGCACCTCTGGGTTCCATCTCTCTAGCCGTGTGACAGGCACAGGCGGCTTTGCCTCTCTGCCTCCTGCTCTGGGAAACGGAACACAAACGTGGACCCTGAGGTCCGTCTGTGCATCCCCACCCCGCCGTCCCCCACCATGCCCCGACAGGCCAGGTCCAGCACCTGCACACGGCCAAGCCCTCCTCCTCCCAGAAGCCCATCCTCGCCTCACTCCTCATGGCCTGAGTCAGGCTGAGTGCCGGATTTCTAAAACCAAACTCTGTATTGTCAACATCTTAGCCTACTGATAACTTTTAATTAGGAAAAATTTCAAACATGTACAAAAAAAAGCCGCCAATACCCAATTTCCACAATTATCAATTCATGGCAATCGCGTTTCCTCTGTAGCTCTCTGCGTCCCGTCTCCCCAGACAAGGTTCAGTAAATGGGAGATGCAGCATCGGTTTGTCTGTGAATATTTGCATATGTACATCTAAAAGACGAGGGCTCTTTAGAAAAGTAAACCCACAATAGCTGCACAGCATGAAGAACGGACTTACAGCCAAACTTCCAGTCAGTCACTCCCCGTCGTCTCAGGACTTGTCTTTCCTGCTTTTACTGAAGCATTTTGCTGGTGGCCTCCTGGTAGTGCACCCCACCACGTGCCCCTGTCCCTTACGTCCCGTGGGTTGCAGCTGTCTCTAGAGGCTGCATCAGATTCGGATTCGATTGTTTTGATCCGAGGACGTCACAGAGGACCTCACCCAGACTCCCCTCGCGCCCGACTCTCTCCCCCTTGGGACGTCAACAGCTGCTGAGAACCAGCGCCACGTCCATTAATTCATCAGGAGTGCAGGCGGGGGTTCTGACGCTCTTGTCCCTTCTTCATTAGCTGGAGTATTTCTACACTGACACATTGCCCTTCTCTACTCCTGGGTTATTCTAAACTACCGTTTGTATAGAAAAGGCAGGAAAAATGCTTGATTCTTCCCCTACAAAGGGTCATGGACTTTTCAGGCAGGAGGAAGTGTGTGGTTTGCCCTGCCAGCTGTGTCCGACCCCTCGTGCTGCAGATGAGAAACCGTGGCCAGCCACGGAGTGGAGCTGCACAGAGTGGGCAGTCCTCCTGTGGGTCCATTTCCCACTCACAACAAGGTCTGATGGGGTGGGGCTCCCTCTGCCTCGTGCAAGCATTCTCTGTTCCTACAGAACCCCACACAGCACTCCTTCTGCAACCTTCTAACTCGGAAAAGTTCCAAACTGCAGAAAGTTTGCAAGAATAATACGAAGAGCTCTTCTCTGCCCTTCGCCAGGCCCATTGGCCCCACTCCGGGCCGTCTGGTCCCACCACAAGCAGCGTGCCCACTTGTTTTATCACCTGCTTCCTCTCCTGCATGTATCCACAGTCTTGTTCTGGACGTCACCCTCCCTGGCCTGGAAATCCCTCTGTTCCTATTTCCCAAGATCAAGATGTTCCCTTACAGACCACAGTAAATTCATCAAAACCAAGAAATCTAACCCAGCACCGATGCAGTGTTACCAACCGATGTGCGGGCCTCCCCAGCTCTGGCAGGTGACTCAGCGGTGTCCTGTGCAGTGCTTCCCTCTCCGGCCCAGGAACAGATCTGAAACCCTGCGTTGCGTGTGGCCCCTCAGCCTTTCTTTGTCTCTCACGACCTAGATGAGTTTTGAGCACAGGCCCATTGTNGGCCCCTCAGCCTTTCTTTGTCTCTCACGACCTAGATGAGTTTTGAGCACAGGCCCATTGTTTTGTAAATTGTCGCTCAATTTAGGGACGTCCTGATGCTCCCTCGTGATTGGACTGAGGTTCTGCGTATGGAAGGCCCACACAGCACCGTTTCTTGTGACGCTCACTTCGGTGGCTGGGTGGGCTGGCATCTGCCGCGTTTCTCCGCTGGGATGTTGCTTCATGGGAGACACTTTGAGATGATGGAGAGACCCTGTCATGCCTCAAACTTCACGCCCTCATGTCAGCATTGAGGATGCCGCGCCAGTTACGACCGACACAGTCCAAGATTAAGCCATGGCTGGATGGAAAAATGAGACGGTCAAGGAGTGGGGAGAGAACACACGCAAGACCGAGGGGTCTCGGGGAAACTCCTGAGTTGGACGGTGCTGGACAGCCAGTGGTGGCACAGAAGAGACATCAAGGACATGTTTGACGGCCTGACTTATTGGAGCCAGTTTCCTTCCTTGTGGAAACAGGTCTCAGTGGCTACTCCCTCCGTGGAATCCTGTTGGCCTTTAACGGCCCAGGTGCTCTCCAAGCCACCTTGGGATCGACCTGCCCATGGACTCTGAGCAGGTGGAGGTGGCGTCCAATTCCTCCTGCATGAATTGGAGCCAGAGACAGCTCCCCACCCCTCGCCTGGCCGCTGAGAGGGAGGGTGTGCCCCCACTTCCACCCCTACCTTGGCTGGCCACTGCCTCTGAGGTCGGGGTTCACTCCCAGCCAGGAGCACTTGTGTCTGCAGTAAATATGAAAGTGGTTTTCTGAGAAAACAAAGGCCAAGGCAGAGGCTAAGCCCCCGTGAGTAAGTTCCTTTGGCCATGGAACGTGGCAGCAGCCGCGGGCAGCAGGTCTGATGGACTCGTGCCTGATGATGCTGGGAAGAGCTTTGCTGGAGTGTGTGGCCATGGGGGAGGGGCCTCTGAAGACTGATCAAAAGACGCAGCCACTCAGTTCAGTGCCCCCCCATCAGCCCTCCCCAAGACCCCTGAGCTTGGCCGGTGTGCAGATGGGCTGCTCTGACCGGGGAGGCTGCTAGTTTCTCTCCTGTCGCTGCTCACAGAGCAAAGGGTCCTCAGGATGGAAAACATGTCACTGCTGGGTCATGCATCACGAGGACTGTGTATTTACTGCAAACCAGGTTTCAGTGGAGGGGAGTCCGGCTACTCCCAGGACATCTGCAGCGACTGCTCCTGGTCACCCCAGTGCTAATAAAGGGCCAGGTTTTGGGGCATTCAGGCCCCCTGCCCTGTGTCCATTAGTGTCGAGGGCTGGAGATGCCCCTGATGCCAGGGGGTCTCTGCTCTGCGGCCTGTTTAGAGAAGTCAGGCCATGNGGAGCGCCTCCGCACTTCCCAAGCGGCGCACTAGCGCAGTGCGCCACCGGGCCGGCCCTGTTTGGGGGGTTTTGATTGTTTGGTATATGAGTCCTTTATCAGACATGACTTTTGCAGGAATTGTCTCCCATCTGTGGTCTGTGTTTTCATTCTCTTGAAAGCAGTGTGTGGCCATGGGGGAGGGGCCTCTGAAGACTGATCAAAAGACGCAGCCACTCAGTTCAGTGCCCCCCCATCAGCCCTCCCCAAGACCCCTGAGCTTGGCCGGTGTGCAGATGGGCTGCTCTGACCGGGGAGGCTGCTAGTTTCTCTCCTGTCGCTGCTCACAGAGCAAAGGGTCCTCAGGATGGAAAACATGTCACTGCTGGGTCATGCATCACGAGGACTGTGTATTTACTGCAAACCAGGTTTCAGTGGAGGGGAGTCCGGCTACTCCCAGGACATCTGCAGCGACTGCTCCTGGTCACCCCAGTGCTAATAAAGGGCCAGGTTTTGGGGCATTCAGGCCCCCTGCCCTGTGTCCATTAGTGTCGAGGGCTGGAGATGCCCCTGATGCCAGGGGGTCTCTGCTCTGCGGCCTGTTTAGAGAAGTCAGGCCATGGCCCCGTGAGCCAGACTCTGAGCTCCCCTCACCAGCCCACCGCAGGCCTTGGCGCCGAGGTCCTGCAGCCTTGAGCAGGGGAGATGCCCCTGATGCCAGGGGGTCTCTGCTCTGCGGCCTGTTTAGAGAAGTCAGGCCATGACCCCGTGAGCCAGACTCTGAGCTCCCCTCACCAGCCCACCGCAGGCCTTGGCGCCGAGGTCCTGCAGCCTTGAGCAGCACAGGCACCTCTGCACTTCTGAGGGAAAAGAGAGTCAGGGAAGTGGAACTCCCAGATTCTCTTCTGCTAGCTGTGGAGACGGCCTACAACATGGATAGGACACTGCGCAGGACCATGGTCACAAACTGTGTGTTTCTTTCTTTCTTTCTTTTTTTAAATGACCAGTAAGGGGATCTTAACCCTTGACTTGGTGTTGTCAGCACCACGCTCTCCCAAGTGAGCCATGGGCCAGCCACACACATTGTGTGTTTCCGTGTGCACATATGTGTGTGCATGTGTGTCTGTGTGTGCCCACATGCATGTGCAGAGACTCAGTCCCCCGGGCCTCAGAACATTGGGCCGCAGCTGGTCAGAGCCTCCCAAGCCTTCATCCCGGAACTGGGTAAGTGGGAGCCCACACAGGGACAGCATGTATCCAGGGTGCTGGGGCTGGAACCCAGACCAGAGCAGATGTGGCCCTGGAGCTTGGAGCTGGAGGCCACAAAGTGGCTGCCCTGGAAAAGGTGGCAGAGATGCTGCTGGGTCCTGCGTTGGGGCTGGGGGTCTCTAAGGTGGAACCAGGTGAGACCAGCCCCTGGGCTTGGTCAGATCTGAACCAGACACCCAAACCCAGGGCTCTGCTGTTATCGGTCTCCGGGGTACATGTCTGTGCACACATTCAGTACACACCCCTGGATGAATGAACACAGCTGGGGCCATCAGCCCTGAGGCCAGCTGCACAGAGCCTGTGACACCCAAGGTCAAAGTAGGAGGCTGGGTCTGGATGGCAAAAGGATCACACAGGACTCGAGGTCGACCCACACAGGCACGGCTGCATGTCTGGGTGGTCGGAGGAGGGACAAGACAGTGTCTGAGTCCCCGGGTTCTCCTCCCACATCCCTGTAGGCATCAGGGTTGGGTCTGGGGACTTTAAGAGAAGCTCTGTATCCTGGCTGCTGGCCTGGGGGTGGCCCTGCCCTGTCCACTCCCCAGCCCTAGGCCCCATGCTCAGAAAATGCCCAGCTATGTTCAGCGACGATTATTCAAAGTTGCTCAGAAATTCTATCATCAAACCACCTCATTTCTAAACATGACCCTGTCTACAAGTGTCCAGACTGGAGTCCCACAGGTACAGAGGGCAGCAGGCCTCATGGTGGACTCGGGATGGCTGAAGCCCCGTTTTGGGAAGAGGGGCCACCATGACTGGGCAATGCCTCAGCACTTCCAAACATGGCCAGTAAGAGACACATGGGTGAGTGTGCCCAGCTCCCCTCGTGCCAGACGTCATTGTTTGAAAACAGTGGACCTTCTCCCAGATCTGCCAGCCAGCCCAGAAACCCACGTGGGGACCATAAAACCCCTCCACCCCCGGGAAACCTTTCCTAAAATGGCAGGTGGTGGTGCAGGAGGGTGGGGGAGGGCCAGGATGTTCTTTTCAGACTCACGGAGCAGCTGCCAGGACCCAAGAAGCCTGGCGAGTGCTGTTAACTGTGTTCTCCAAGGGCTCAGGAAATGCCCGGCCAGCGCTGCGTCTGTGGGGTGCAGACGGGGCCTGCCCCAGTCAATACTCAATGGCATCTGCGCGTGGACAAATGACCAGGACTCGGCCACAGAGCGACATGGAGCATCACTCTACGCAGCACCCCAGCAACAAGACTCACAGGAATGGCGCTTTGGGGCGATTCCTTGGACCTGCACAGAGATGATGCATCTAGGGCTGGGCCGGGCTGTCCTCCAGCTCTCTCTGCTTTGCTGCTGTTGTTTCTGATGACTGCAAAAGGCCAGGCTGCCCCTGACCATGCCCGGCGGGGGGCCTTGGAGGAAGGCAGGGGGATGGGAGTCTGAGTGGAGGCGTCTCCTGGCTGGGCAGCGGGTGTGGCTGGCCCCTCTGTCACCAACCCAACTGTTAAGTCAAACCTTCTGGAGGCAGGTGGAGTGGCTGGTGCCCCCCAGGGCCCTCAACTGACTGCCAAGAGGTCCCACCGGGCAAAGCAACATGAGACCCCCAAGGACGGAGGGAGGTGATTTCTCACTCTGTTGGCCACACATGGGCCTGTTTGCTTCTGCCCTGGCACAGGGAAGGGGCCCTGCCGCAGAGGCCGGTGGGCTCTGACCCATCCCCCTACTGCAAGCAGGTGCTCGGGAAGGGCTCCTCATGCGGGGGCCACCTGTAGCTACAAGTTCCATGTGCTGGCGGTGGGGCTGGGAGTTGCATTCTGCTCCCACAGCACACATCGGCAGTGGCTGCTGGAGAGTCAGTCATAGCCCAGAGATTGTCAGGCAGACCACAGCCCCTGCCCCACCCTGCCGTCTCTCCCACCTGCATGCCATCATAACCCGGCTTCTGAGATAGCCGTGGAAGGTCTGCTAGCAAGCTGCCCATGGCTCAGGGTGGGAAGGGCCAGCCAGACGGGGATGGCCAGCTGCCCTGCCCATGTTCTAACTAGGCAGAGTGCAGGGAGACCCTGTGCAGATCCTTCAACCCTTTGCCTTCCTTTCTCCACCCTGGGATGGAAAAAACACCACACCTCCATGGCTACCCATGTCCTAGGGCCAAGGTACTGTTCAACGTGTTATTTCTGTCCTGACTTACTCTGGAAACCCTCCTCTTACCTCAGGGCCTTTGCCGGCTAAGCCTTCCCCACCCGCGGCTGAAATCCCCCCACCTGTCAGGCTGCCTCGTCCAAGCTGACTCCCAAGGAGGGTTCTCACTTGGGTTCTCAAGGCATTTTTCTCAGACCCTTGGAGGGCTCTTGGTCACTTGGCTCCAGTTTTATTCACCTCGCCATGACCCCCACAGCACACCCAGATTTCTTATACTCTTCCCAGCAGAAACAACATCATCACCACCATCAACAACAGCAATAATAGTAACTGCGAGGGCCTCTCTGTGCCAGGGACCATGCAAACGCTCCTTACGAGTTCTCTCCCAAATGCTCTACCTTCCGAGGCCAATGCTATGATCACCCCACTTCGCAGATGGAAAAACTGAGGCTAGACAAGGGACCAGCCCAAGGTGACTCCCAAGTTTGGGCTGGAGCAAGGCAGCCAGAAGGCACTGGGGGAGCTGGTCTGGGGGCTTCTGCTGCTGAGGAGAGGGGCAGATAAGCTCCTGGGAGCACAAAGCCTCTAGAGAAGCTGGTGAAAGGGACCTTACCCCTTAAAGAGGTGGGCCCCAGCACACACAAGTCTGCATTAGACCTTAGAGAATCTGGAGACACCTGAGGTCCATCCATGGGCCCCAGGGAGACCTGGGGCTGATTGGGGCTCCAGCTCCCTTCAGCAGATGAGATGAGACTGAGGCTGGGACTCTGGAGCGAGAGGTGAGAAGGGTCAGGCTGCTCCTGAGGGCCCCTCTCCCCTTCTCAGCCTCCCAGGCATAGACTTTCTCAGTGACATTTCTCCAAGTCCCTGTGTCCAGATAGTATGCCACTGGAAACTAGCTTTGTGGTGAAGGAAAGGGAAACACTGAGGTTTCCCCGAGGGGGTGGCTACTGACGTCCCCCTTGCGAGACCCAGCCTGGTGCCCGCAGACCCCTGTTTCCTCCCGGCCCTTCTCCCCCGGAAGAGGCTGCTCACCTGGATGACAACCTTGACGGTGGCGGTGTGGACGATGGGTGTGCACACCAGCCCGCCGGGGTGCTGGCCGTCTGCGCTGCGGTTCTGCTGGCCCATGGTGAAGATCATGGGCACAGCCAGCAGCCCCGAGGCCAGCCAGATGGCGCTGATGAACTTCTTGGTGCGGCTGCGGGACATGAGGGTCTTGGCCTTGAAGGGGTGACAGATGGCCAGGTAGCGTTCCACGCTCAGGCTGGCCACGTTAAGGGCCGTGGCATAGGTGCAGGCGTCGCGCAGGAAGTAGTAGCCGCGGCAGACGGCGTCGCCGAAGGCCCAGGGGTGGTGCACCCAGATGAAGTTGTACAGCTCTACGGGCATGGCCAGCAGCAGGATGAGCAGGTCGGACAGCGCCAGGCTGCCCAGGTGGTAGTGCACGGTGCTCTGTAGGTTCTGCAGCGACTTCTTGCGCGCCAGCGTGAACGCGGTCACCGAGTTGCCCACCGTGCCCACCACGAAGAGCGCCAGGTACACGGCCGTCACCAGCACCTTGGAGTAGATGTCGGTGTTCACGTCCAGGTCGCTGCTGGGCGCCGCCAGGACGCGCTCCGAAGCGTTGCCCGA